TTCATGTCAAGCCAATGTGAGGTCACTAGCCAGTAATAATAACAAAAACTCATGTGATGTATATGCTATATATGCACCACTATACTTAGAGATACTGAACATTACGTGGTCCAGACAATGCCACAAATTTCTTCAGTGACATCCCATTAAAGGGAAATGAGTCAGGTAAAACCTTCTTATGTATTAGATAGAGATGACTGATTAAAAAAACTATACTATGTCAAACTGGAAATTTAAGTAGGTCACAAAAATATCATCCTGATTGTCATGCTATAATATTATGTAGGGTTTTGATTTTAAAATTTCTGTGTAAAATTATATAATTGTTGCCTGTTAGTATTCTACAGAGATTCAACTATTAGAACATCCATGGCTGTAAGAAAATAACAGTTCTATTTTATGTTCCAAGGTGCTTGATATTCAGATAAAATAGTGATATTAAGCTCACTGTCCCCATTACAAATGTTATGTCATTAGCTTTCTTTTCTGGATGTTCAACAACTAGGGTATGGAGACCAAAAACTAGAAAGATAGGTGGGCTAAGAGGACAGCCAATATTTTGGCTCCAGCCCACAAAGGTCACTGAGGGCCCAGGACATGCAGGGAACTTTTCAGCAATATCCTGCAAGTCTGGTGAGTTATACAAACTCCTGATCAAGGAGATTGTGGGACCACAGAGGATAAAGATCTATGGTGTATAGTGTGCCTAAGGAGAGTCACTAGGAGAAAGAGTCTCCCAAGTTTTCACAGAAAGCAACTTGGTCAAGCAATGACCATGACTCATCCAGATGGCTGACGCTGACTGAAGAGCTAGAGGTGCTATACATGGTTCCAAGGTAAATCCTGAGGAGACTTAACTGACCTTGATAAATAGGAAAATTGATTAATACAGGTCTCACCTTAATTTGTTCTCAAACACAGAGCAGAAATGTTTAACCACAAGAGATATAAAACAGTTGCCAACTACACTAGTAATTGATCAGTGTTCTGGGATAATGTGCTGTATAGGATTAAATTGCTATATGCAGGGACTCAAAATCTTTGGACTGGAGGGGGCTGGGGATTTAGCTCAGTGGCAAAAGCGCCTGCCTGGCAAGCGCAAGGTCGTGAGTTCGGTTCCCGGTACCGGAGAAAAAACCAAAAAAAAAAAAAAAAAATCTTTGGACTGGAATCTTTAGCCTCAACTGAGCAAATTCATATAAAATGAAAAGGGTTCAAAAATAAAAGAGTCTTCCATAGACTCCTCCAAACACAGCTTGTCCAACTTTAACTGGCCACTCATCACTTGTAACTACAAAACAGAAAAGGGGGATATGTGGGGAGCAACCAAAGCTGGAGATGGGTCACACGTGTGGGACCAGAGCAAGGCCAGCCTCAAGAACACTGGGCAACTGAGGCAAGTCACACGAATGAGCTGCTCTAGTCTCAAGAACAGAGTGCCCGAGGCAAGCCATGTGGATAAACTATTGGGTGGAGGGATTTCACGTGATGTTCAACCTCCCAAATGTATAAATAAATGTGCTGCAGCTGTTGGGGCTCTCCCTCCTTCTCCTCCTCCTTCTTCTTCCTTCCTTACTTCCCATCAGAACAGAGGGCTCCATCTGGCCTCAGTTTTTCTGTATTCTGACTCTTGTCCTTTTTCCTCCATCCTCTCCCTGTCCTCACCCTGGGAACATTGAGGGCTTCGTGGGACTTGGCAAGTAATGACCTCTGTTTAAAAATGTCCCTTACAATGGACACAAATGCAGCATCTCCTACATAAGCTACCCATAGTTAAATCATCCCTCTGGGAGTGAAATGCTCTTCCTTTTTCTTTTTCTTTTTCTTTTTTTTTTTTTGTGTGTGTGTGTGTGTGTGTGTGTGTGAAGTTCTCTTTCTGTGGCTTTGATTTGCATTTCCTTGTTGACTAGAGAGGTTGGACATCTTATGTGTTTGTGGAAAATCTGTATAGATCACTTCTTGGAGAAATGAATATTCAAGGCCTTTTCCCATTTGTAGAGGGGTTATTTGTCATTTGATTATAGAGTTTTAAGGGCTCTTCATTATCTTCTTGATACAAATTCCTTATCAGAAGTATGATTTGCTTGGGCTACATAGTGAGTTCAAGGCCCTGTTTTGAAAAAGCAAAAACAAAAAAATTAGTAAATGTACATAACATATCTTAATTTTTTTACTTCCTTTCCCCTCTTTTCCCTCCATTTTTAGATCCCTTTCTCATTTGCAAAAGACCTGTTCACTTTCCTGATGGTGTCTTTTGGAAATAAAATCTGGGTAATTTTGAAGGAGTTTAGTTTATATGGTTTTTTCCATCATCACTTGTGCTTTTAGTGTGATATTTAAAAATCCATTGCTTGGACTGGAGACATAGCTCAGCAGCATAGTATCTGCCTGGCAAGTGCAAGGTCCTGAGTTCAATTCCCAGTACAAAAAAAAAAAAAATCCATTGCCTAATCCATGTTCATGGAAACTCCTGTTTTCTTCTAAGAGCTTTCAAGCCCTTCTGTGGCAGGTTGATATTAATTTTTGTGGATGATGCAAAGAAGAGATCTAACCTCAGTCTCTTATGTGGATGTCCAGTTGTCCCTATTCTTTCCACATTGAGTGGTCTCAGCCCCTTGCAGGCCATCAGGTGACTATAAATGTAAGAGGCTAGTCTCAGGTGTAGTCCATCCATCCAGCTTTTAGGCTTCTGCCACTACCACACTGTCTTGATGAGAGTAATTTTGTAGTAATTTAATACATTGTACATCAAGAGCTGCCTACCTGGAAGAGAAGTCCCTAGAAGTCCTATAGTGCGAAGGGTCCATGCAGAAGTGGCAGGTAACCTCTGACCTGTCCAACCATTTTGCCCTGATGTGGATACAGCCCTCAAAGCTCTAGGTGTTTCATTTTCCTTTTTGTTTTTGGTACCAGGAATCAAACTCAGGACCTTGCACTTACCAGGCAGGCACTGTGCTGCTAACCTATATCCCCAGCCCTGTATTTTGGTTTTTGAGACAAGGTCTCCCTATGTAATTGAGGCTGGTCTTGAACTCATTGTGTAGCTCAGGCTGGCCTTGAACTTGTGGCAATCTTCCTGCCTCAGCCTCCCAAGTACAGGGATTACAGGCATGCGCCACCACACTTGGCTGCAAGGAATGACTCTTGAAAGACCACTTGGACTTCTCTCTGACAAGCACTTCAGAAGCACAGCCGCCATGGTCCTGAGGAGGGACAAGCTGGTTGAGGAAGAAAGCTGGAGGACCAACTGGACACGCTATGTGTGTGACCTGGGAGTTCTGGGCGGGGGGAGCTGTCCCTTCATGGAAAGTCAAGTCTGTGATGGAGGAGTGGAGTCCCAGAAGGAGGCTTGGGTCATCAGAGCACAGGTGCAGGGCTCCCTGGATGCAGGGATAGCGAAAGTGCAGAGGGTAGGGGGGCTGGGGATTTAGCTCAGCGGCAAAAGCGCCTGCCTGGCATGCACAAGGTCATGAGTTCGGTTCCCGGTACCGGAGAAAAAAAAACCAAAAAAAAAAAAAAAAGAAAGGAAAGTGCAGAGGGTGTTCGATTCTGATTGTCTCTGAGCTGTGGCCAGTACCCCAGGACCTCCTGAAGCCTAGAGGGAGGGATGCTGGGACGAGCTAGCCCCACCCACTGAGAAGTTCAAAGAAGATGAGGTACAGAGTAAAGGTCGCAGGAGCCTGAGTAAAGTTCCCTAAAAAGACTGCCCAGGAAAGTGGCCTTTGATAAAGGCAGTAAAGGAGGCTTCTGCACTGAGAGCACAGGACAAAGAAGAGCAAGGAACCAGAGCAGGTCAGTGGGCAAAGGAGAGCGGGAGGGCAGGAGGAAGCCAGGGAGGCTGGAGGGCCCTGGGAAAGTAGCAGGTGTGGAGGCTGAGGCAACAGGCTCCACCAGCTGGGGTTCCTATAACCCCTGCCCTTTAGCCCAAGACCCAGGAAGATCCACAGAAACTCCGGAAACTACCAGAAATATGAAACCCCCTCTTCCTGCTAAGCCCAGCACTCCCGCCCACTGCCTGCCACAGGCTGGAGTCTGAGCCTGGCTGAGGTCTGAGGAGTGCGAGGGGCCAGGGCGGGGGAGTTGAGCCGGGACTGGAGGGGATTGGACAAGACTCTGGATTAGGGGTGGGGAGTGTGGGACTGCAGAGGCTTCTGTGATGAGGGGGTGTGGCGTGCGTGGGGGCGCTGGACTGGGGTAGGCCAGGCTGCACCTTCAGGAGCCAAAGATGCAAAGGGTGTGTGGGGTGTTGGGGTTTGACTGTGTTTGTGGTCTATGGAGCCTGTGGGTCTCTGGGCTTGCTCGCAGGTGTTTATGTAAGTGCATATCTGCGTATGCATGCGGGTATGTGTCTCTGGGTATAACGCGTGTGTCTGTGTATCTACTTGTGTGACTTTGTATGTGTGTGTGGGTGTGTAACTGTGTCTATTCATCAGTGAGGTACGTGTCTACATGTGCCTGTGTCTCCGGATTTTTTGTGCATATCAGTGTAACTGTATCTTCATATGCATTTGTGCACCCGCGTGTGACTAGGTATGTATCCGCGCCTGAGTCCTCCATGGGGCTCTGTGTGCGTGTGACCCAGGTGCTTGGAGAAGCCAGTGCAGATGATAAGTATGAGTCAGCATCACTGCGGCACTTGACTCTTGCACTCCTGGTGAAAGGAGTGTTCTAGGGTGATTTCAAATGGCCTTTGGATGACCCCCAGGCTTATCTTGAAAGCTGTGGTCAGGTGTTAAGCTGGTGTGTGTGAGCTCCTTGGTTACACTCAGTGCCGGCCTGCTACCTTTACAAGAGTGCTGACAGTAAACTTGGGCTGTTCATGTAACACTGCAAATGTCTGTATTGCTATGCGGGGAGCCAGGTCAGAAATGCTTGGAAATGTATCCACAGGTGCCTTCGGGGACGTTGGGACTTCACTGGCTCCGGAGTCTGCACCATTCTCTAATCAGTTAATGAGAAATCCAGGAGGCTCCACCAGCTGACTGCCAGGTGTTGTAACAACAGGAAAGAATTCCATCCTCCCGCTTGGTGTCATTGGCCACTGCTCGCCCCACCCCATTGCCCCTCCTGTCGCCTTCCGCCAGGCTTTTTGGGAAGTGGGTAAAAGGAACCGTCAAGGCCAAAGCATGGGCCTCTGGCCACCTCCCAGGGAGTGGTGCCCTTCTGTGATACCTGTGCTGGGGCATGAGGAAGAGACAGTTTCAGCCACGCAGAGAAGGTGGCAGGTGGACCAAAGGGGGGCTGACAGCCTGCCAAGCACCAGGGTCCGCTGTGTTCCCTCCCTAGGCATTGGTCACTAAGTGACCACAAGGCTGTGGTGGCACTGGTAGCAGAGGATGCCCTGGGCCCTGGAGCATGCGGATGGCAGCTGGTCCTGGGTGGTACTTCTGGCCTCCCTGATAACCCAAGCTATCACGGCAAGCTTCCCCACCTGTATTGGCGTCTTCTTCAATGATCTGCAACGTGACTTCCAGGCCAGCAGCAGCGAAACTTCCTGGTTCCCCTCCATCCTGGGAGCCACGATCCAAGCTGGGGGTGAGCAGACGGGGGAGCAGGGGAGGGAAGGATGAGAAAGGGGCCTGGGGTGGTGGCAGGAGGAGGCCACAGCTTCCCTGGTCTGGGTCTCTCTCTCTCTCTCTCTCTCTCTCTCTCTCTCTCTCTCTCTCTCTCTCTCTCTCTCTCAACCATAGGCTTTGCCTACTGGGTGCATTTCTAAGATTACCTGATTTGACTTCAGTAGAACCAGCCCCCATGGCTGGTAACCCGCTGGACTGACTTGTGCACCCAGGAGGCTGGGTTGGGCTGGGCTGGGCTCAGGAGACATGTGAGGTGCAAACCCAGGGCTAGAGAGTCCTCTTAGTGGCCACTGGAGGATGGGTCCAGACCCTAGATACACAGACTGGGAGAAGCCAGTTTTGCGGCCAGCAGAACCAGGTTCCACTTTCCAGCTGGGTACTTTCTTGGAACCCACTTTCTTCCTCCCTCTGCAATACAGAAGTAACATCCTGCATCCTGCCCAACTCCCACCTGCAATAATAGGGAAGACCACACGGGTCCCAGAGGTGCCGGGAGCTAAGAAATCTATGGTGTAGCTCGTCATGGTGGCACACACCTATAATCTCAGCACAGCACTGTGAAAGGCTGAGGCAGGAAGATTGCAAGTTCTAGCCCAGCCTGGTAAACTTTGCAATTTAAAGAGACATCTCAAACTTTGGAAAAAAACCAAAAAACCATGTAGCTCGGTGTAAAGACCCTGGGTTCAATCCAAGAAAGAGAGAGACAGAGACAGAGACAGTGACAGAGAGACAGAGAAGGAAGGAATGAAGGAAAGAAAAAGAAAGAAAGAAAAAAGAAGAAAGAAAGAAAGAAAGAAAGAAAAGAGGGCTGGAGATGTAGCT